TTTCTTTCTTTCTTTCTTTCTTTCTTTCTTTCTTTCTTTCTTTCTTTCTTTCTTTCGGAGTGAGAGGGTGCATGTAAGCTGGAGAGGGGCAGAGGGAGAGGGAGAGAGAATCTTAAGCAGGCTCCACACCCAGTGTGGAGCCCAACGTGGGGCTCAATGCAGGGCTCAGTCTCACCACTGAGATTATGACCGGAACCAAAATCAAGAGTCAAATGCTTAACTGACTGAGTGACCCAGGTGCCCCTTGGGCATGTTTATTTTAAAAATGAGTATATTGAGAAAGAGAGAAAGAAAGAGAGGAGAGAACCTCAGCCAGAGACATCAACAACGAAAAGTTACCCTTCTCTTTATGCTTAATCTGAATCAAAAGTGAGGAGGCTGAGAAGAAACACTGGTCAGGGAGAACCGTCGACGGCCAGAGTCTGCTATAGCAGGGGGAACACATATAAAAACCTAGAGGTGTTCAGGCACTAGGCCAGAAAGCTATCTTGAAAAGTTGTACTGGTAGGTTTATGTATTATACACACACACACACACACACACACACACACACACATATGTACATGTACACGTACACAGATACACACCCCACATACACGTTTATTTTGAACCAGTGCTGTTAAAAAATAAACTGAGGCATATGAAAATTTTTAAGAATTTATTTGACCAAAAATCAATTGGAAGCTATCAGTGCCAAACTGGAAGTGGTTAGGTTTCTGCTGCACCTGTGGCAGGGGAAAGACTTTTAGAGAGAAGAGGTGGAAGGAAAGCACCTATTTGACTGGCTGCAGCTTAAAGCCTCATTGGGTGTTCCTGATTGGTTGTTCTTAGATACCGGTTTTTTGTTTTTATTTGTGTGTGTGTGTGTGTGTGTGTGTGTGTGTGTGTGTGTGTGACCCTGCAGCATTTACAGGCTTAGATTTTGGTGTGCTTCTAGAGGCTTCTGGCCTTATGGCCACCTCAGTTAATGGCCTCCTTGTTTAGTTAACTGAAGGGTCCCCTACTAAATGGAAGAGTTGCAAGATCAGGTTTGAAAACTTGTGTCTGTTGTGTCCTTTAATACAGAGATCTAACTCCAGGTAGCGCCTTGCACCAACTTTCCTCTTGTTTCCTGATCTTTTTCCTTATGGAATTATTCCTTTTTTAAAAAGTTTTTTAAATGTTTATTTATTTTTAAATGTTTATTTATTTAAATATTTATTTTTGAGAAAATAAATAAACGTTTATTTATTTTAAATGTTTATTTATTTTTGAGTTTTTTTTAAATGTTTATTTATTTTTAAATGTTTATTTATTTTTGAGAGAGAGAGACAGAGCATGAGTGGGGGAGGGGCAGAGACAGCTGGGAAGACACAGAATCCGAAGCAGGCTTCAGGCTCTGAGCTGTCAGCACAGAGCCTGATGCATGGCTTGAACCCACGAACCATTAGATCATGACCTGAGCCAAATTCAGATGCTTAACCGACTGAGCTACCCAGGCGCCCACCTCCCCCACCCACCATGGAACTATTCTTCAGTGGTTCCCTTTCTCTCATGATTTTGGCACTTTTTGAGATTATATATCAGCCACTTTTAGAATATCCTCCAATTTGGGTTTGTTAAAAGGTAATTCATTAAAGGTGCTTTTAAGAAAAAGATAAAAGCATGGCTCTCATACAGATATAAAAATGAACATATGTTAAGACATTTTACTCATGTGACATGAGGGAATGAGGCAGATGCTCTAACAGTTTCAAAGGAAAAGTCAAAAGGGCACCGATTTATATGGAGCAAAGGGTTGGTGAAATGAATTGCAAATGGAGACAACCTGGATTTCCGCCTGCAAGGAGGAAGTCCATTAGAGCACTACATGACAGGACAAAGTATATATATTCATCAGTTACCTACAACTTAGAGACAACAGGGCTGGAATCTGCTAATTCAGAAGAGTTTGCAATGGACACTGTACAGTTTTCCATTGGAACAGAATTTTTGTTTCTACATGTTTATCCTGTATTGTTTTCCTGTTGTAAACCCATATGATACGTCTTTGTCTGGAATATTAGAGATGTTTGTGTGTGGTTTTGTTTTTTTTCATTGCAACCTATTGATGGCACATGATGTCTTTTTGTCTTGTTACTCGTGTTCACTTTGACTTAAGACCCTTATAATAGTGCCTTCCAGATGTCTCTACTGTAACAGTTTTTTGTTTGTTTTTTATTTTTGTTTTTGTTTTCTTTTGGGTAGTTACACCACAGAAAATGGGAAACAGTGTAAGTCAGGTTGGTATGTTTTCCCCCAGAGATTTGGTTCTACAACAATACCAGCACACCAGTCTTTCAAACAACATGGACTCATTCAGTCCTGTTTAATTCAGGAAGCTATAATCTGTCACTATTATTATTTATTTTGGTGCTTGGTTTGTCCCAGATTTGGCTGTCCTTCTGACCTGTCCTGTCCTTCCCATTATTTTTTGAGCATTCATTACTTTCTGGTGCAGTGACGTGTTCCAGGGTTATCTAGATCTTTCCTTGTCTCAGTCCCATCAGGAGTCTTTTTTTTTTTTAATTTTTTTAATGTTTATTCATTTTTTGATATAGAGAGACAGAGCGTGAGCAGGGGAGGGGCAGAGAGAGAAGAAGACTCAGAATCTGAAGCAGGCTCTAGGCTCTGAACTGACAGCATGGAGCCCAACGCGGGGCTACAACTCACGGACCGTGAGATCATGACCTGAGCTGAAGTCGGATGCTCAACCGACTGAGCCACCCAGGCGCCCCAAGGAGTCATTTTTACAAGGAGCTCAGTTCCTTTTAGTGGACAGTAGTGTCCTAGGTCTGCCCGCCTGTGACCACCTACTACTTTCACTCTTCCCAGTGGCTTTTTGAAGGAGGAGGGTGGGAAGGAAGCTAATTTTTTTTAAAGACAGATAAAGGAAAGGGATGGGAGGAAGAAGAAGAAGATGGCTGTATACATTTTTACCCTCACCCCTGACCCCCAGTTTTACCAGAGACTAGATCTGATCTCCTTGTGGTCAGTTAGGTTTCTCAAGTGGTTACATTTTATGTGGATGAAAATGAAACTTAACTTCATCTGAAGAGCCAAATCATTCATCAACCACTTACTAAGTATCTGCTCTGCATGTGCCTGACATTATAGTAGTGAGTCACAGTGTCAAGCCCCTGCCTTCAGAAAGCTGGAAAGACAGTGAGGTGCCCTACGAAAGTCATACAGCTGGTGACTCTCAGTGAGTGCAGATGTGAGTCCCACCTTCAGTCTGGTCACGTGGGGGAAATCAGAGGTCAGGGAGGCTTCCCAGAGGAGCCGAGAATCTGGTGAATTTGGAGTAGAACTTAGCTAGTTGGACACGTTGGTTAGAGGGAAAGGGTATTCCAAACAGGGAAGAACATACCTAGAGCCACAGATATTTGGCAGACTGGAGGGATGGGAAGTGGTTTGATAGGACGAACATCACTTGTTTCCTTATCTTCTTGACCCCAGGTTTTTAAGAAGCATGATTGTCCTTTCTTGCAGACAAGATTTGTCTATTGCACACTTTTTTGCAGGCTGCCATCACAGAGTTCCATGTGTTGTCCAAAACTATTGGAGTCTATTACGATGTCTTTTTTTCAAAGAAGCAATCTTTTCTCAAGAAAAGGGAAAATAGAATTAGTGGGCATTTTCCCAAAGAAAGATAATTATTTCTTCATTGTTTGGCATATGCTTAAGAACTGGTCTAGTTTTGGGCTCTACTTTTTTCATCAAACGTTTACCCATTTTGTTCAAAATGGAATGTTCTTATTGCCTTTATTCAAGTAAATGCAGTAGGTTGGTTGCAGTAGTTTAATCTCTGCCTTTTGGTTGTTTCTTATCATTAGAGAATACCAATTTGGTACTTTGAATAATGTTTTGAAATAAATAAAGTCTTGTACATCATGGCAGTTAAATCTTCCCTATATCTAATCCTGAGCTCTCTTCAAGATATATTCTTTGTGTAAAAATTATTGCTTTCAAACATACTCCTCACATGGTTGTTTTCAAATTTTGCAGACGGTACCAGAAATTGCAGAAGATCATGAAGCCTTGGTAAGAATTTATGATCAATTAATACAGATGATGTAACACTTCCTTCTTCTTTGCATAATTAAACCCTGTCCTCTGACTGATTGTATAACTATGCATCTAGATATTTTAAGTAAGTGGTTTTTTATTCTTTGTTTCATGTTCTTATTAACAGGTTTTTCAAACATTTATTTCCCATTTTTTTGCTTTGTGGTAGAAAGGATATTTTATGTTTGTGGCCACAAAATGATTACATCAGAATTGCTCTCCTTCTCCTAGAGCAAGGCTAGGCATAATTTTATGTACTACTTTAAACAAAAACTTCCTTTTTTGTGGCCTATGTGATGTTCAAAGTCAAAAGTCTTTGATTTTCTTCAATGACTTACTATGAAAAAGATACACATAAAAAAACATTCAGGATTGAAGTATGGAATGAAAATTATTTACTTTGAGTCTCAGAAAGTAGTCATCTGTCAAGCGAAGTGCATGTTAATTGTGTATGGAGATCTCAGAACTTCTTTCTTAGAGTTTCCCCCCCCCCCACTGCCTTTCTTATCCATTAAACAGGGTGAATCCAAATGGGGCCTAGCAAACTCTCTACAGTAGGCAGAACAAATTTCCATTTCACCAAGTTGTTAAGCAGATAATTTCAATTTGAGAAGCAAGACTGAACAGTATCTGAAAATGTGCACCTTATTTTTTAAGCCCTTGGAGAAAATTCTGACCACTTCAGTGTTCAATACTGGTCTCAAGTCATTCATCTTCCCCTACCCTTCCCACATAGAAAAAAGCGTATATTCTCTTCAGTTATTAAATTCTAATGAAGTAAAAGGTACTACTGAGATTTGAGGGTAAATTTTTTTAAACGTTATTTTGAGATATATGTTTGCGATAGTGGAAACACTTAATGGTAATGGAAGCAGAAGCCATCTTTCATGAGAGTTTGTTCTGGGCACTGTCTCAGTGTTTACATTCATTACTTTTATACACTCATATCTGACACACAAGATCAGTATAATGAGAATTATTGCCTTGATGCAGAGATTAAAATCAGGTAATGGAGCTGGGATCAAACCAAGTTTTTCTTTAACAACCTCATGCAACTTGCTAATGTAGAGGAAGTTGGGGGCTCTGAAGCCAAAATAATTTCTTAAAGTTTATTTGCCAATAGTTTTAATCACTTGGTATGTAGGGATGCTGGAAGTGGGATTACGCATTAACCATGATTTTCATTTATCAAATGTAGACAAAATCAGTGCTCAGGGCCCTCGTTCTGGTAATGGTGGAATGTCTTAATTAGACTTAATACAGATAAAAATGGTTAAATCTGGACAAAGTAGTGTGAACAAAAACACCTAAAAGCAACTACTTGAAGGAACTGGATAACCCCCCAAAGTAGACAGAAAGAGGGAGGTCAGTTCTTGAAAGAACATAATGGGTCTCATATGAGATTTGTGTGTTTGTAGCTTTTGCCTGAGGGTACCCGCTCCTCCAGTTAGCACGGGGCAGCAGTCAGCCTTAGTCTTGGTAAATTACTGAGAGGATATAGTTTGGGGGCTGGCAGAGCAGCTAGATTATTAGGGGCAATCTGTGAAAGAAGAGAAGCTCAGAGGGTAGGAGACCTCACTTCTACAGGTTCATATAGATCCACCTATAAAATCTGCCCAAATCAGAAGCATGAATGTGCATGTGTGAGTATGTATGTGTGTGAGAACCCCAAAGGACCTGGTAAAAACATCTACTGGGAGTGGAGAGAATTGAGAAGAGATTTAAACTGCTGCTCTTTGCAGAATTTGGAGTTTGATTCTAGCTAGGTTAATTTCTGCTCTAACAAAACAGTCTCAGAAAAACAGAACTGGATTTTGAGACTTGACAATCTTTTATTCCCAGTGTTCAGAATATAACAAAAATTACTAGGGGCGCCTGGGTGGCTCAGTTGGTTAAGCATCTGACTTTGGCTCAGGTCATGATCTTGTGGTTTGTGAGTTCGAGCTCCATGTCAGGCTCTATGCTGATAGCTCAGAGCCTGAAGCCTGCTTCAGATTCTGTGCCTCCCTCTCTCTCTGCCCCTCCCCCACTTGTGCTCTGTTTCTCTCTGTCTCTCAAAAATGAATAAATGTAAAAAAAAAAATAAAAAAAATTACTAGATAAATGAAGAACAAGAAAAGATGACCTATTCTTAAGAACAAAATAAAGCAGATAGTAGAAACTGACCCTGAGGTGACCCAGGTGTTGGAATTAGCTAATGGAGACTTTTTAAAATGTTATTTATTTTTGACAGAGAGAGAGAGAGGGAGGGAGGGGCAAAGAGAGAGCGAGACATAGATTACAAAGCAGGCTCCAGGCTCTGAGCTGTCAGCACAGAGCCCGAAGCGAGGCTTGAACTCACGAACCGTGAGATCATGACCTGAGCCAAAGTGGGAGGCTTACCTGATTGAGCCACCGAAGTGCTCTGCTAATGGAGATTTTTAAAGCAATGCTTATAAATATATTAAAAGATGAAAGTATTAGTATAATGAGTGCACAGATGAGGAGTCTTAGCAGAGAAATGGAAACCATAAAAGATAACAAATTGGAAATTATAGAACTGAAAAGTATAATACTTAAAATGAAAAATTCACTCTATGGGAGTTGAAGATGGAAGAAGAGACAATAACCTTGAAGATGAATCATTTCAAATCACCCAATCCGAAGAATAGGTAAAATAAATAGTAATTGACCTGTGAAATAGAAATAATTGGTCTAAAATACATCTAATTGTGACATCAGAAAGAGAGGAAAGAGAGAATGAGACCAGAAAAATATTTGAGGAAATAATGACAGTTTCAAAATTTGTTGAAAAATATATTTATAGAGCTAGGAAGCTCAGTGATCCTAACTGGAATAAATAGAAAACTATACCTGGAAACATCATAGTCAAACTTCTGAAATTTAAAGATAAAAAGGATACCTTGAAGGCAGCCAGAGAAAAACAACTTACTACATTAAGAGAGTAAGAATAAGAATGAGAGCTGATTTCTCATTAGAAATAGTGGAGGCCAGAGAGCAATATTTTAGAAGTGTAAAAAAAACAAAAAACAAAAAACAAAAAAAACCCCACACAAACCAAACCAAAAACAAAGAAAACCCCACAAAAAACAAAAAACTTGTCAAACCAGAATTCTTATCTAGTAAAACTATCTTCTGAAAATGAAAGTGAAATAGAAACACTTTTAGATAAAGGAAAACTAAGTTCATCATCAGTAGGCATACACTACAGGAAATATGGAGGAAGTTCTCCAGCCTGAAGGGACATGCATTAGATAGAAATTGGGCTCTACAGGAAGGAGTGAGCAACACTGGAAATTATAGATATGTGGGTAACTAGAAAAGACAAAATACAGTTTTGTCTTTAAAATTTCTCATATTTATTTACATTTGTAAAAATGTTTATTTATTTTTGAGAGAGAGAGAGAGAAGCAGAGAGAAAAAGACATAGGATCTGAAGCAGGCTTCAGGCTCCGAGCTGTCAGCACAGAGCCCGACACGGGGCTGGAAGTCAGGAACCGTGAGATCGTGACCTGAGACAAAGTCTGATGCTTAATCGACTGAGCCACCCAGGTGGCCCTCATATTTCTTTAAAAGGCATATGGCCATACAAAGCTAAAAGAAGTATAACTCAAAATCCAATAGAGGAATTAAAAGGGACTATAAAAAATATTTGCAGAAAAGAGGTAAGGAAAGAGAAACAGAATAAAACACAGCTGAGACAAACAGAAAACAGATGATAAATTGATTGGCCTAAACCTAATCATATCAATAATTAAATTAAATTTATTTATTTATTTATTTTCAACGTTTATTTATTTATTTTTGGGACAGAGAGAGACAGAGCATGAACGGGGAAGGGGCAGAGAGAAAGGGAGACACAGAATCAGAAACAGGCTCCAGGCTCTGAGCCATCAGCCCAGAGCCCGACATGGGGCTCGAACTCACGGACCGCGAGATCATGACCTGGCTGAAGTCGGACGCTTAACCGACTGCGCCACCCAGGCGCCCCAATAATTAAATTAAATTTAAATGGACTAATCACTGCAATTAAAATATTTCAGATCATATTTGAAAAAGCATGACCCAGCTATGTGCCATTTATAAGAAATGTATTGTAAATACAAAGGTGCATGTAGTTCAAAACTTGAAAATACATACATGTAAATGTGAATAATAATAAATTTTTTTTTTACATTTATTTATTTTTGAGAGACATTGGGACAGAGCGCGAGTGGGGGAGGGGCAGAGAGCGAAGGAGACACAGAATCTGAGGCAGGCTCCAGGCTCTGAGCAAGCATTCAGCACAGAGCCTGACACGGGGCTCGAACCCACAAACTGTGAGATCATGACCTGAGTCGAACGCTTAACTGATTGAGTCACCCAGGTGCCCCAAATGCGAATAATAATAAAACTTAGTTGTTTTATCAGTAGCAGACAAAATAACAATTCAAGACAATATTTTGTCAGAGATAAAAATAATTCATAATAAAACATGGTTGCGTTATTAGGAATACATAAAAGTGTTAAATGTTTATGTACCTAATATAAGATTTCAAAATACATGTAAACGTTGAAAAAAAAATTTTTTTAAAAAAATTAAAAAAAAAAAAAAAAGATTTCAAAATACATGAAGCAAAAAGCAACAGCTAAAGGGAAAAATAGACAAATCCGTGGGGCACCTGAGTGGTGCCCCAGCTAAGTCGGTTGAGCATCCGACTTCAGCTCAGGTCATGATCTCACAGTCCATGAGTTCAAGCCTCGTGTTGGGCTCTGTGCTGACAGCTCAGAGCCTGGGGCCTGCTTCGGATTCTGTGTCTCCCTCTCTCTCTGCCCCTCCCCCACTGGTGCTCTGCCTTTCTTTGTCTCTCAAAAATTAAAAAAAAAAAAAAAAAAAGACAAATCCTTAACAATAGCTGGAGATTTTAACACTGTCTTCTCATTGATAGGAAAACTGGCAAAATCAGTAAGGGTAGACAAGATTCGACCAACATTGT